TAGTATATCTGGTATCTTATTTTCAATTATAAGATATTCTTGAATGTCACACATAGCGTTATTATACTGATGTTCTCTGTATTATATTTATTTATTTATTTTTTTTTTTTTTTTATTATCACACCGGCCGATTCCCACCTAAGCAGGGGGTTGTGGTTGGCCCGAAAAAAAAACGAAAAAAAACCCGAAAAGAAAAAAAAAAGAAAAACTTTTCACCATCCATTCACTCCATCACTGTCTTTTGCCAGAAAGGGTGCACTTGCTAGTTGCTTTACAACTACTGTTTTTTAAACTGCAACATTAACACCCCTCCTTCAGAGTTGCAGGCACTGATTACTTTCCCATTCTCCAGGACTCAAGTCCGGCAGCCAGCCGGTTTTCCCTGAATCCCTTCATTAATGTTACTTTGCTCACACTCAACAGCACGTCATGTATTAAAAACCATTTGTCTCCATTCACTCCTATCAAAAAAAACGCTCACGCATGCCTGCTGGAAGTCCAAGCCCTCGCACACAAAACCTAACTTTACCCCCTCCTCCAACCCTTATAGGCCGACACTACCCTGCCTTCCTTCCACTACAGATCTGATACACTCTCTTGAAGTCATTCTGTTTCGCATTACATTCTCTCTACATGGTGTTCCCACCGATCCACCCTCAACAACATTTCCTCAGCCCTGCTGGACAACAGTTTTGGTTAATCCAACACCTCCTCCTATCTTCCAAAATAACGTAATTCTCCTGATTATATTCACACCCACATTGCCCCGCAGACATGACATCTCCACTTGCTCCAGCTTCTCCTCGCTGCTAATTCATTCACCATGCTTCACACCATTTAAGAGCGATGGTATTTAAAACTATACTTATTCATTCCCCCTCTTGGCCTCCATGGACAAAGTTCTTTTGTCTCACCGACTACTAAGTGCTGCACACTCACTCTTTTTCCTCATCAATTCTATGATTAACTCATCTTCTTTCCAAAGACCATCCGCTGACCACTTTCCACTCCCAAATATCTGAATACGTTCATCCTTCTCCATACTCTCTCCCTCCAAATCTGATATTCAATCTTTCATCACTAATCTTTTTGTTTATCTCATAAACCTTACTGTTTCCTGTATTCACCTTTCTTTTAATTTTATTCTTTTGACACTCCCTACCAAATTCATCCACCAATCTCTGCAACTTCCTTCTGAATCTCCCAAGAGCAAGTCGTATCAGCACAAAGAGCAGCTGTGACAACTCCCACTCTTTTGTGTGTGATTCTTTATTTTAATCCTACGCCCCTCTTGCCAAGACCCTCGCATTTTACTTCTCTTATCAACCCCATCTATAATCATATTAAACAAACCACGGTGACAACACACCATCCTTGTCTAAGGACCCTACTTTAAGAAATTAGGAAAGTGAAAGGTTTGCAAATAAACTAGTCCAGAGTAAGAGGATTGTTCTACGAAGAAAAGGTTAAGGGAATCGGCCCTGACGACACTGGAGGACAGGAGGGTTAGGGGAGACATGATAACGACATATAAAATACTGCGAGGAACTGACAAGGTGGACAAAGACAGGATGTTCCAGAGATGGGACACAGAAACAAGGGGTCACAATTGGAAGTTGAAGACTCAGATGAGTCAAAGGGATGTTAGGAAGTATTTCTTTAGTCAAGAGTTGTCAGGCAGTGGAATAGCCTAGAAAGTGACGTAGTAGAGGCGGGAACCATACATAGTTTTAATTAAGACGAGGTTTGATAAAGCTCATGGAGCAGGGAGAGAGAGGACCTATTAGCAATAAGTGAAGAGGCGGGGCCAGGAGCTATGAATCGACCCCTGCAACCACAAATAAGTGAGTACATACGCACGCACGCGCGCGTGGGGTACCTTAAGATTCATTACTACGGCTCCTATTGTTTCTCATACACGTAAATGATCTAATTGACGGGAATGAAACATATGTCATTGTTTAACATATATGAAGATAAGAAAGAAGAAACAACAGCTACAAATGGTGTACAATATATTCCAGAGTGACCTTGATAGATGAAAAAAGCTGGTCAGACAAATATAACTTACGAAATTCAACCTGAGTAAATGAATGGTAATAAGAATAAAAAAAGGAAGACCAGAAATGAAATCAGCCCAAAGGGAGAAAAATTAAACACAACAGAGAAAGACAAGGACAATACACAAGGACCTTGGGATCACAATCGTGCCACCACGTATCACCAGTGGAAAACAATAAACCGGGATAGCATCGGCAGCATACGCCTTAATAATAATGCCGATCACAAAGTATACAGTCCCAGCATAGAACCCACATCTGATAAAGTACATGCAAAAGCTAAAGGCTCAGAGGTTTGACAGGAGACTTCAACATCAACCTTGGCTTACTAGATGATCAGCCTGTAACTGATTTCATCAACAATATGAACAACACACTTCTCATACCAACAATAACTAAACCAACCAGGCTCACTGAGACAAGTGCAACCATAATAGACCACATATGGACCAATATACTAGCCCCCCTTAAATCAGGGATAATCCCCAGATAGCACTACAGACCACTACCCTACCTTCCTCCTGACAAACATTACTAAACCACCACTTGAATTCAACAAAGTCTCATTTAGACTCCATGATGAAGCCTCAATAAGGAAGTTCACAGCTGACCTAGAGATTGTTGACTGGCCTACAGAATTCTCCAAGGCCAATGGTATTGATGACTGGACAGACATTTTTCTTAACAAATTACTTAGACTATACAACAAACATTGTCCAATAAAAATGAAACAGATCACAAACAAACGGCTTGGTTGCCCATGGCTAACCAGTACCATTCTGAAATCCATTGACAAGAAACACCAATATGAAAAGCAATATAGACAGGGCTTAATACACAAAGATATTCTTAAACACTATTCATCAGTTCTCACCAAATTAATAAAGAAAGCCAAACAACTATACTACTCCAGCAGATTCACAGACACTAGAGGAGATGTATAAAAGACCTGGAAAACACTCTCTCAGATTCTAGGAACCCACAAACTGAAAAAAACCAAGAATATTGTCCTAACTAAACCTAATGAAACACCACTACATCCCACTGACACAGCTAACAAAATAAACAACTTCTTCTCAACCATAGGATCTAATCTCGGCAATAAAATCCCACATACCAATGCCCATGCCGGGGACTACCTAGATGGGAATTTCCCAAATTCCTTCTATCTTGCACCAACTGAGCCCTCGGAAGTCACGAGATTATAAAGTCACTTAAAAACAACTCAGGGTAATCTGTCTAATGTCCCACCATTACTGTACAAGCGAGCAGCCCATATCCTTTCGCATGCTATTTCATTACTTTTTAACAAGTCACTAGAAACTAGCACCTTCCCGAAACTACTCAAGATGGCAAGGGTTACACCAATACATAAAGGTGGTGACCCTACAGACTTAAACAACTATAGGCCAATATCAAACTTACCATTGCTATCCAAAATCTCTGAGAAACTCGTGCACAGGAGACTATATTCATTTATAACAACACAAAACATACTCAACCCCTGCCAATTTGGATTCAGGAAAAATAAAAGCACTAATGATGCAATCATAAAAATGCTAGATCTGCTTTACACAGCATTGGAAAATAAGGAATATCCACTAGGAATTTTTATTGACCTAAGAAAAGCTTTTGACACAGTAGACCACGACATCCTACTCCACAAACTTGACCATTACGGTATAAGAGGCCATGCGCTTGCTTATTTCAAATCTTACCTTACTAATAGGTATCAGTACGTCACCATTAAAGACACCGCATCAACAACACGGCCACTTGATACTGGAGTTCCGCAGGGAATGTCCTTGGTCCCCTGCTCTTCCTCATATACATCAATGATCTTCCAAACGTATCCCAACACCTGAAACCCATTCTCTTTGCTGACGACACGACTTAGTCATCTCTCACCCTAATCTTGCCACCCTCAACACCATTGTTAACGAGGAGCTGATCAAAATATCGACTTGGATGACAGCCAATAAACTTACGCTTAACATGACAAAACCTACTATATTATGTTTGGTAGCAGACAGGAGATGCACAAATTAACATTAAGATCGACAACACTCTAATTACCAGACATAATGAGGGCAAATTCCTAGGCCTATACCTTGACAACAACCTGAATTTCAGCACCCATATCCAACACATAACCAAAAAAGTATCCAAAACGGTTGGGGTCCTCTCCAAGATACGATACTACGTGCCGCAAAATGCCCTTCTCACACTATACCACTCACTTATTTATCCATACCTCACCTATGCTATTTGTGCTTGGGGATCAACTGCAGCAACACACCTAAAGCCAATAATAACCCAACAAAAAGCTGCAGTAAGAATAATCACTAAATTCCATCCCTGGCAACACCCCCCTTCCCCACTCTTCATAGATTTAAACTTACTCCCTGTTCAGTACATCCACACTTACTACTGTGCAATCTACATCTACAGGACCTTAAACTCCAATATCAACCTTGACCTAAAACGCTTTCTTGATAGTTGTGACAGAACCCACAGGCATAACACCAGACACAAACATCTCTACGACATTCCCCGTGTCCGTGGTTCACACTTACACTCACTCACCCATTTGACCATAAACAGAAATATTAATCTCAATCTTAAAATAATGAATCCTATGATACTCCAATACTGAAACTATGTACTGTGCCAAAACAAAAGCATTCACATTGCTAAACTCACAAACTAGTATTTAGTCACTTAGCCATAAAACCAACTTACCTCATAATTTGTAATATTTTAAAATAAAGAATTAAACTAAGTCTGCCCGAAATGCCTAGCCATGCTAGGCGTTCTAGTGGTACACTGTAATCATTATTTAACTACATGTAAACCACACAAAAACCAAATTCTGTAAATTTAACATTGTAATCTTTATAGAGAATAAACTTTGAATTTGAATTTGAATTTGAATTTGAGACGCATCCCGGAGCTCCCAGGAATGATATACCCGGAAAGACTGAGAGGACTGAATCTGACGATCCTAGAAGCAAAGAAAGTAAGGGCAGTCATCACCAACAACAATCACCAGCAACAAGAATCAACAACAGCCATCACCAACAATAATCACCAGCAACAAGAATCATCAACAGTCATCACCAACAATGTGATGTAGTTCAGCTGGGCTTGTGAGGTCTCTAGGGAGACCTAATTATTTAGCCACTTGCCAAGGCAAGGTGACCATATAATTAGGTCTCCCTAGAGACCTCACAAGCCCAGCTGAACTACACCACAACAACAATCACCAGCAACGACAACAATCACAACATATAAAATCTTGAACGAAATTGACAGGGCTATTCGAGAGGAGAGGACCCGGAACAAGGGCATATATATGGAGGCTAAAGACACAGTTGTACTATACGGACGTTAGAAAGTATTTATTCTCAGTGCGATTCAAACGTGAAACGTGTAGACAGGGAAGTGGTGGAGGCCCTCTCTATTTCACAGCTTTAAGAGTAGGCGCGACTCGGCGCAGGAGGCTCGAGTTCAAATGTCGGCTAAGCAAAAAAAAAAAAAAAAGTGGGTCAGGAATTAACAACTAAATGAGTGCACACACACACACACACACACACACACACACACACACACACACACACTAATAATAATAATAATAATAATAATAATAATAATAATAATAATAATAATAATAATAATAATAGGTATGTTACATAAACCTGTACGTTGCAGATGTGGTCACTGATGCTGCTCGCGATATTGACTGTTTTTATATGCATTTTCTTTATGGAGTACCATCATTACAATCTCCACCACTCACGGTAAGGCTCTTCATACTCTTAGAAGCACTTGGTAGGAGCAGCGCCTCAGAATGAATTCCCAAGGAACTAGAAGCAGACTATGACCAGTCTCGTTTCTTGGTCATCCTTCGGTTTGCCAACCAGACTGTTTTTTTTTTAAAGCTGGTTATCTTCAAGCACTTAATATTTTTCATTCAGGATTTCGTTCAAATCTTTGTCATCAAAAACCTATGAATCATCTCGTTTAAGCAGAGGGGTCACTGCTATTCAAGTATCAAATCACAATGACCTACCAAACGCATCTAATCTCCTTAAACCCATTTTATTTGCAGATGACACAACTTATGTCTTTTCTCACCCAAACTCAACCATACTAACAGACAGTGTAAATACTGAGTTGCTAAAAATCTCTACCTGGATGATTTCCATCAAACTTACTCTCAATATAGAAAAAAACTACTTCATGCCTTATGGAAACAGAATTTCAGATGTACAGCTAAACATATTGATATATGGTTCACCTATTCCGAGAGAGGCAGAGGGCAAATTTCTAGGTCTCCACTTTGACTGCAGTCTCAAATTTCAGGCACACATGCAGCAAATTTCCAAAAAAGTCTCCAAAACTATAGGCATCCTTTCAAAGATACGGTACTATGTACCCCAATCAGCTCTTCTAGCTTTGTACCACTCTCTCATTTACCCTTACCTCACCTATGGTATATGTGCATGGGGCTCAACCACAGTAAATTACCTTAAGCCTTTAATAACCCAGCAAAAAAGCTGCAGTGCGATTGATTACTAACTCCTGCATTAAACAACACTACCGACTCACGAAATCGTAATGACACGATTGCCACGCTAGCTGGAGATTCGTCTGTAAAAACTTGCATTTGTGGTCACAGTGGTGCCTATGCTAACCTTCCTATGGTGTAGAAATATACCTAGTTGGACGAATCTTATTGTGGATAGCTGGTCCAGTAGCTAACGCGACGGTCTGGAGTTTTGAGACTGACAGCGGGTTCAAATCCCGCCCGTGGTATGGTTTTTTTTAAACAACACTCTCCACCTCTTTTCAAGAGTCTTAACTTGCTAAATATACAAAACATAAACACCTGTTAATGATTCCTCAGGTAGAATTTCATCCAAAGCACATTTAAGTTTCCATGCTTCCAGTATTAATAATTTCCCTCTTATAGTAAGGGGTGACACTAAACCTAGTGGATCAAAACATTTGGAAACTTCAGCAAGCAAGACTCTCTTGCTTAATTTATTGGGCATACTGTAATTATTAGGTTTTAACATTAACAAATTTCCCTCAGTATCCCAAGTTAATCCCAATACATTAATACATTTTGGCACTTCATCTCCAGGGTAATCTTTACTTATTTTGTCCTTTAATTTGGACGAATTACTATTCCATTCCCTCAGAGGCATATTTGCACTTTGCATTATGATATTAGCCTCTCCATAAGTCATTAACAGTTCCTCTTCAGTTGACGTCACACCCAGGAAATCGTCCACATAAAATTGTTTGCTCATTACTTTACTCAATGGACTTCCCATACGTTTAAGGTGTGCATTTATTGTCGCTTTAAGTAGGAACAGACTGGATGTAGCACAAATAATACGCTTCTAAAGCGAAAGGTTTTCAGAGGGCTAAGTGGGTTACTAGGATTCTCAAGCCATAAGAAGCGGGTGTAATCCCGGTCAGCCTCTTGTAAACCCACTCTTAGGAAAGCTTTACTTATGTCAGCCGTAACGGCATAATTCTTCATCCTGAAATTTAATAAGATATCTCCTAATTTTTCCGTCAACGACGGACCTGTCATCAAACAGTCATTTAAACTAGGTACATTTTTGTTACTCCTGGCACTACAATTAAACACAATCCTCAGAGGAGTGGTCTTAGAATCCTTCTTCACTCCGTGATGTGGCAAATAGTGACCATAAATTTTGGCTTGCTCAGGAGGTATCTTTTCTATAAATTTATTAATTAACTGCTCAGCAATTATATCATTATAGGCAGTTAGCAATTCTGGTGTCTTACTCAGTTCGCGGAGCTGAGCCTTTAACTGTCCATATGCCATTCTGTAATTAGTGGGCAATTCTGGATGGTTCAGTCTCCATGGAAGTCGTACCCAGTATTGTCCAGATTCAAATTTTGCATCTCTCAGGTACTGCTCCTGAGTAAAAGAATCGTCTGGACTTTCTTCATTTACATTTATTCCAATGCTGCCTAATTCCCACAATTTATGCACTGGCTCAACACCATCCTCTATCGAAGAATTATACTGGGGTACGATTTCATGAGTAAGACACACAGTTATGGTATTTGTAGTTTCCTCTAGTCATGAATTATTATTACGAGGAATCCTGCCATACATTACATGTCCTCCTGCAGTCTTCAAAAGAGTGACACCACATTTCTTTACCATACCCTTTACAAAGGAGGCATAATAGTCATTACCTATCAAAATATTTATTGGGCCTATAAAATCATCAATTACACCTGAAGGTGCTAAATTTACATTATGTGAAAGTCTTTCTGTAGCTTTACTAAGCCCTACTGTAGATATTTTCTCTGGAAGTCTATCTACAATTACTGCATTAACACGTTTTTTCTCATTGCCCAACCTGACAGTTACATAAACAGTGTCATACAATTGAGCTCTTTTATCTGAGAGAAAACCAGATAATTTTAGAGTTGTAGGATCTCCCATTTGTACTTTCATACCATCAAGACATTTACGTTTAATGAAAGTACGTTGGGATCCTTGGTCTAATAATGCATTTACATTTTTTTATTTATGCCTTTTATCATCAATTTTTACCTGTAACACAGGTAAGGCTACTTCAGCAAAACCATTATTATTAACATTAGCAGCAATTTTTACATTAGCCACTGTTGTGTCAGGATTGTCAACATTATCATTATTATCAACATTATCATATAGACCCTTACACATGACTACATGGTGTCTTCCTTTGTGACATTGATAACAGTTGTTTAATTTGGCATGACAATCCTTTACATTGTGATTACCGAAACACCTGATACATCTGTCAAGTTCCTCCAATCTTTCAACTTTATCATTCCATGAATTGTATGCATTGCAATTCTTAGAAAAATGAGTACCCTTGCAGAAAAGACAATCTCTCTTTTCTTTGACTGGTTTCTTATTAACTGGGCTACTCTTAGGAGGGTACTTATTCTTCTTACCTTGTGGAGAATCATTATTTCTGATTCTTGCTACTTGATATGCACCTATGCAACTTTTTTTAGGAAATGAATTTTGATTATTACCATTGGGATAATTTTTCCCTTTGTGAAACTTGACAGATACCTCACAGTTATTATGTGTTGCATCTTTAAAATGAGTTAGTTGGCTGGTCTGCAACTGCACAATTAATTCTTGTAGACCTAGTCTTATTTCCTCCAGGCCAAAATAACCCTTGTGATATTTGTTTGAGAGTCATTCAAGTGTTTTACAGCTTAATTTATTCTGTACCATGGCACTCAATAACCAGTCTGATTCCTTCAGATTATATTTATTACTTAAAGTTTTGAGAGTGCTCTCCAGTTTAACTCTAAACTGCTGTAAACCTTTGTAAGTGTGATCTGGAGATTTTAAATTAACAATGATATTCACTAGATCCAACCTACTTTGTTCTATATTACCATAAGTGACCTTCAGCAAGTTAACTGCTTCCTTGTAAGAGTCATCTACATTGGGAAAGGCTTGTATGAGTATGTGAGCATCTCCTCTTACCTGTCCTTTGACGTAAAATAATTTAGTTACACAGGCTAGGTCACTCCTCTCATGCACAGCTGCTTTAAAAATTGACCAAAATTCCTCCCAATTTTCTCCAGGATTAAACATAGGTAAACATAATTCTGGGAGTTTAGGCAAAGACATTATTTGTTGGAGCAGACTGATTAACTGCCTGGTTTACACATTTTAATATATTCAAGGCCTGACTTTTACAAAAAAGAATCTTTTCCTCTAATTCATAATACTGATTAATCATAAGATCTACTTCAGTCTCATCTACACAGTTTACTGACAAATCTCCTTCATATTTGTTGTAATATAATTTGTATGAATCATATCTATTCCCCAAAGCATCTAAATACAATTTTAAATAATCAGTATTCACAGTTTCTTGATTCATTAACTCCAAACATTTATTGTATGCTTTTGTTATATGCCTTTTTCTAGCTTGCAGTGATGCTTTATTTGCTCTATATTCCATATGTTTGTCTTCTATATTAATTTCCTCATTTTCAGCCATGATGCAATGTATTAAATTCAGCTTAATTAATAACACTGATTACAACTTACAACACTGATACAACTTACCTTTGAATAAATCCTAGCTACTTGAGCTTAGCAATTACATGTAAGGAAATTATAATATAAATTTTAAATGCACATTAATACAACCTTTAGTCAGACATGGCTCATCAAAATTAGTATTATACAAATTAATATAAATCCTTGCCAGAATTTGGCATAGCAAAATTAATATTATACATATTAATATAATTAGCTACACTTGGCTTATCAATTACACATACACTGATATAAATCTTGTCCAGAATTGTCTTATCAAATTAATATTATACAAATTAATATAAATCCTTGCCAGAATTTGGCATAGCAAAATTAATATTATGCACATTAATATAATCTTTAGTCATACTTGACTTGGCTTATCCAAATTAATATTATGCACATTAATATAATCTTTAGTCATACTTGACTTGGCTTATCCAAATTAATATTGTAATAATTATAATCCACTACACATTAAGTAAATTTGTGAACTTAACATCCACCTCCTTCTGTCATTTCACATATAATTATTAAGTAAATAACTAATTAATGACTTCACTAATTACCTCCGGTTCAGAAGGACCAACAGGCAAATTAAATGTGGAAAATTACATTTATCTGAATGTAACTCATTATGTACATAACAGTAAATAACAAAGATAATTATTATTTATCAGAGTTACATAGACAAGTAGGAATTTGGGACACCTAGGTCACAAAAATGTCCCCCTTTGATACCTACCACTGTCATATCCACAAGTTGCTCTAGACCTATTAATTACAAATGAAATATGTATCACCAGGAATTCTGGTAAATATATAAGTTTGTGGACTGTATATTAAAAATAATAAATGATTATATATATACACATATACATGACAGAAGGAGAATATATCTTAATATCACTCACCAATTTGACTGGAGATCAAGGTGCATCATACTCAGAAAACCTCATTGTCTATACATGAAAATAACACTGGCCAGAGTTACAACATCACAGACTTATCTGAGGTTCCTGGAGCTGTCTTGTCCAGTCGCCTGATATCTCAAGTTATGCAGGAATACACATCCAACAATTTCGCCTCCTATTTGAGAGGTGTCAACCCAATTTTACCTCTAGAGCACGAAAATTCTTCACATTATTAACTAACGTCTGTTACTCAATTCAAAGCAACAATGGCGAGACTCCTCTGCGCAGGCACAGCTTCCCATTTTCGATAACATAATTTTTATTAAATACAGTATGGCCATCTATATACATATAACTACTGTATTTCTGGAAAATATATACAGTATTTTCCACAATCTTTATCTTTATCTTTATGTAGGTAATTAACTTCTGTCGATAATTATAGCAATAATATAGAAAGAGAGGCCCTTTTTTCTGTTTGCCAAAATTAGATAGATCAGCAGTTATAATGTTGTTGTTATAATGCATGTATCACCTGATGTAAAGTAAGGGGGGGGGTTAGTAATTGCTGATGTAAGTAGAGGGGTCATCACTATATACCTATATACCAACACCTGCAAGTAGATGGACAACTTATAAGTTTTTTTAACTGATTTTTTACCTTATGTGAAAAAATTATTATAGTGTTTACCTATTTTTTGGGCAAGTTTTAATCCTGTTGTACATCTTCCGTTTCGTGGAAAAGTTTACGATTTGGCTCCGGCTCAGGATTGGTAATATGCAAGTTTTCTCTCTTGTTGGGACAGTGGCAGTTCAATCACACATCAGTAGATTATTATGATTCTTCCTATTTGACCTCTTTTTGAACATTTCTCAGCGGAATATATAAATTTACAATTCGCCCCTAATATTGCATATTTCTTTGGGTTGCCCTGCGGTATACGAACCTGTAAATGTTTGTGCTTCGCTAAATTTGTGATATAATTTGATAGAGGGATGTCAGAGATTACTTTCTTCAGTGTTCGTGGAGATAAACTGGATAGTATTATCAATACTGGTCTGCTTCGTTATCTTGGTGATACAAGACTAATATAACTCAGTGGTCACAGTGGGGTCCATGCTAACCTCCCTATGGTGTATAAATATAGTACTTAGTTGAACGGATCATTTTATTGTAGCCAGCTGGTCTGGAGTTTTACGACTCACGTGTCATAGGTTGTAACCACACCCGTGCCCTGACTTGTTTGCAACCGTGTTATTACGATTTTGTGAGTTGTTCTAGCCACGGTATTGTGATTTTACTGCTCCATGTGATGGGGTGTCACTATGTGATAGCGTTTCGAAGCAGATTGTAGTGAAATCATATTTTGGGGCCATATACATGACTAGATGGTGAGGTTTCAGTTTAGACCAAGTACTGGGGTCATACTGATTCAGGTGTAGGGTCTTACTGGACTTGGTGATGGGCGGTCGGTGATTCGCCGATCTTCAAAAGTACGAGTCTTATCCAGGTGGCCCGTCTCTGGTGATGGGGAGTTTCCGTGGGTTGATATGGACCCCCAATGGAAATAAATCACCTTGACTTTTTTGGGTTATCCTAGATAATTTACACATATGTTACTATGCATGATAATTTGTGTAACTGAATTTATGTATACCAGTACCTAAATTACTTACTAGTGAGAGGATGATCGTTACAATTACTTTGTAAATGGTCCAAGCCGGACCGAAACGTCGTCGTAAACTCCTCCTCTCTCCTATGTGCGGGTTATCTGTATATCGTTCCAGTCACGGCATTGTGCTTTTTTTTTCTTCTTTTTCGTTATAGAGTGTGGCAGCAGGAGGGTAGTGGAAGCGTGACGGGGACGGACCAGCATGTAGCATGGCGAGCCTTCCTCTGGACACTGGCGTCAACACTCTCACAGGGTGAGTTGTCACTTGCTTATGTTCAAGCAAATTACCAATAAAACTCATCACCAGGTCCAATACGAGTCCCCATCACCAGAGACGGGCCACCTTCTGGATAAGACTCGTACTCTTAAAGACTGGCGAATCACCGACCGCCCATCACCAAGTCCAGTAAGACCCTATCACCTGAATCAGTATGACCCCAGTACTTGGTGTAAACTGAAACCTCGCCATCTAGTTATGTATATGACCCCAAAATATGATTCACTACAAATCTGCTTCGAAACGCTATCATATAGCGAGACCCCATCACATGGCGCAGTAAGACCCTATGTCATAGAAAATAAAGTCACAATACCGTGGCTAGAACAACTCACAAATAACTCGCACTTTGACGCTTCCGTCCGTCCAGGATTAGATTTTTTAGATTTTGCCACCGAAGTGGCTAGTTTATTGTGCACCCCATATCTATCCTGTGGACGGTAGCGCGAGAGCATATGGATACACAAAAGGCCTAGGAACTAGGCCCCAAAGGGTTAACAGGAATACATATGGATTTATATCTACATATCTATAGTTCACTTATCTGTTACAAGCAAATTTAGGAAATTTGCTTAGTATATCTGGTATCTTATTTTCATTAATAAGATATCTTGACATGTCACATAGGTTATTATACTGTCTGTCTCTGTATTCTTCAATAAGTGGACAATTAAGCACATAGTGTTCAAGAGAGTGACCATATGCCTGATCACATAATTTCCATTTAGTTTGATCATCATCTGTGTGTCTCCCAAACTGCCAGAAGTCCTTGTAACCAAGCCTAAGCCTGGCCACTACAACATCAGTCAGTCTGTTCACATTGCAAGTTGCTCCATAAACATACTTATCTACGTTCATGTTATCATAGTGGGTTATAGATCTACTCAGGCTTCTAACTACATTCCTATAACAATCATTTTCATTGTTTACTTCTCTCCTAATATTATTCCGAATGCTAGACACAGTTATACCAAAGTTATATTCAACATTCTCCTACTGGGTACTCTTCTTGGCTAACATATCAACTTTATCATGAAGGAGAAATTTCCAATGTGTGATGGGATTCCATAGCAATTGTACATTAATTCCTTTGTCCCAAATTTTCGAGTATCTTTTACCTGGCTTCTCCAATAAAACATGTTGTTGGAGTCATTATATGAGTCAAGAGCCTTCAATGATGACTTTAGAAAATCAGTAATGATGATAGAAGTCAAGCTCAGTGTCTTTAGGTTAGCTTTAGCGCCATTAGGATTGCAAAAAATTTCATTTTGCAGTGTAGACGCCCCAGTTGTTAATTCTTTTGCCTAACTCAACAAAATTTATTATCGTTTTTAACAAGGGAGGTGGCAACAAGAGCAGATGCACCCCTGCCAGAAGCTCCTGTTTAGATTCCATCAGTGTATATAACTTGTGATAACTTATTACTACCAGCTAGGTGAGAAATTTCTTCTTGAGCAGTTGCTCTAACAAGAGATTTAAGGAGGGATTACTAGCAATGAACTTCTTGGGAGGGACTTGCAGGTATGTGATATTAAATGAGCATATCTTCCACGGAGGGGTTTAAATGCTCTTGTTGCCTACAGTGATACAGTTCATGCAGGTTATAAAACTTGATGTAATTGCACGTTTTTACAATCCATTTAGATCTGTGTGTATTTTCATCTAGACCTTGGTACGATTCATTGTGACAGTTGTCTGGATCGTTCTCAAAATTCTAATACCGATGTACAGTGTTAATCTCAATAAATCCTTATCACTGATACAGAAATACCATGCTCCTTCCTCCTGTTAAGAACTTTGGTAGATCTGGGACAGACAAGAATAATCCTGTAGAGCTTCATTTTGCATTAACTCCAAGGGGTCGGATGAGCGCTTTCTCTAAGCTAATCATTCACATGAGGAGCTGGCATTTAATCAATTAAGCCGACCTAACATAGGCTATGCATCATTCTTACGATTATCAATTTAGCACCAAGTTTGGGATTTGTAGCAGCAACAGCTTTGAGAGCATTCTAGCCTAGCTTTCGCATTCTTGTATAGTTGTGGTATAGTGGATTTGTTAATTAAAGGGTACATCTACACCAAGATATCTGTAAGTTTAACGTAGCTAATGATTTCACCCGCAATAGTGTGTGGGGGGGATGTCGTTTGCTTGGTTAATTCTTTGTTTTTAGAGGAAGATATGATGAGCTAGTCGATTACAAATTGCTTGACTTCATTAAGAATGGTATTCATCTTCTTATGCCACCTGTTGTATGGATCATGAATCATCAGCCATGGCTTTAGCTATATGTTTAGGTGAGGCTAGGAGAGAATTTAGTGAGTGCATTAATCAGTATATTAAATAGCATGGGACTAGAACTCCTCCCTGTGGTTGTCCTAAAGTCCATTTCTTAGAATCACTTCTGAAGCTTGGTAAAGGACAGAGGATACTCTAATTTGACAGGTTTATCCTATTATCCAGCAGAGTTAAGCTACCACCAATATTCATTTTGGCTAGTTCATTTAGTATAACGGTTCTGTTCGCAATATCAAATGCAGATTTTAGATCAAGGAAAGTGGTTTTTATAAAATCTAGTAGAGGTTGGTGTGCAGGAGAAAGGTGGAAATAAGTTTGCACACTTTTACCTTTCATGAGCCCCATAGAGGTAGGGGAAAAGTTGATGTCTGATTCTGTAGTACAGTCTGTTAAGTATCATTCTTTCAACTAGTTAAGGAGATCGGCCTAAATGTATCAGGTTGTTGGGGCTTAGGGATAGGCACAATGAGACTATTGGGTCACAGGGAGTAGGAAGAGAACGGACCTCAATGTAAACTGAGATTTAACAGTGCCAACAAAGGTTATCAGGACACGCTGCATTATGAGTTCTGAGTATATCATAGGTTATACCATCCTCTCCAAAAGAGCTGTTGATCGACAACCTTAGTTTATGCATTTATTAATTCTACTCGGTAATGAAAGAGGAAATCACTCTCATCAATATTTTGGCTCATAAAATTAATCAGTTTCAACATTTCTTCTGCAAGTACCATCATAAATTTTTTCTAATATGAGAGGAAGGTTTTCATACCTGGATGTTTTGGGACCAGTATTTAGAGGGTCATTTGCTTTTTCAAGAGGAAAGGGAAATGAGCAACATTGCCAGTCTTTTTCCTGGTTATTTTATTAATTTTAATTATAGGGGGGTGGAACCTATTTAATCACTAACAAAATGTTCCCATTCCTGTTGCCTAAGTTCTCTTGCTTTCTATTCCTTGCATTTGTTAGTGCAGGATTTGGAACGTTCTGAGCAGGTCTGGGGTTCTTATTCACGGTTTGCCTTTACCAATCCTCCTAGAGCACGTGTGTTAGATTGCGTGCTGTGGATCATTATAGTTTTTTACATTGGGTTTTTTATTGTTATTTTTAAGTGGAGGGATTTGTTTACCTATTCCTGCCCACTTGATTGTGAGAACTCTCTCAATCCCAGTAGTTAAATAATAATCCATTATATTTTTTTGTGTGCCAATGGGCTCTCGTGTTTTTATACAATTGTCCAAGTGGTTAATAAAGTTGTTCTCTGTGTTCTGGTTTGTGTATAAGTTTCCTCCTTCTGTATTTAGCTCCTTGTTGCTGTTGATGTGATCAAGATTGACAGTTGTTAGTCTTGGAAGTGATCAGATAGAAAGATTCATCTACTAAGACAAGTGTCTATGCATGTATATGATGTATTAATTCAAGACACAGATCTAGTATGCCCACCATATACTGTGAAGTAGCTCAGTAGTACCACCAATTCGAACTTTATCATGCTCATTTAGCAATTTTACTAGTTTTGTTCATTGGTGTTTGTACTATAGTACCCACCATTATTCTTATGTCTGGCATTAAAATCTCCAAGAATGAGTGTAGGTTTCAATATTGATTGCGATCCTGGTAAAAGCATCGGTCGAAGCTGGTTTCGCTGGGCGCATAGGTTTAAAAATGTTTATGGACAAAAAATTCGCCTCTGCCTTTGCAATATTCTTGACACCATTGATACTGCATGTAAATCGACTCTGCAAGGAAAAGGAAGTGAATGTGGCAAGTTCATTTCGGACATACATCACCACAACATTTGGGTTGACCTTAGGTTATATAGCTGCTACCTAGGCAAGTTTGGTGGAGGTGCTCCATCTTTCAATCTAATTCCTGCAAACAGTTGTCATCCATATTCTGGGTTGCACTAATATGATGTAAGTCAGGCAACGATTCCTGATGGAAGCAATGTTCATGAAAGATTTGTAGTGTATCCATTGTAGTGTGTTTATTACAATCTATTGCCTCATAAGAGGGTGAAATTTAAACTATTAATGCTTTGACTACAGTGTGCAGGCATTAAGAGCTTAAATAGCATAGTTTGTCACGTCTTTGGCTTCAGGACCTTTTTTTTTTAAACATTTTTCGGCATTTTGACTGCCCAGTTAAAAAGGCAAGTCTTGATGGCAAAGAGTTCTTTCAAGGGCGTCTTTCACTACAAATTGCTGGAAGATGAACGGGGTATATTGCTGCACTTTTGACATCATCACCATCCTCAAGAGCATCATCATGATTAATATTTTTATTAAATTTGTAAGGATCTGTTCAAGATGCTCAATTTTTTTTTCTGGAATTGTTTCCCTTTGCAATGAATGATGAAACAGATTGGCACAGGCACCGTCCAAGATTTGTAAAAAAGAACATAAAAAATAAAAGAACACTGCGGCAGGCCTACCACCCCATACTCAGCAGGTTAAATTTCACACCCACCCGGGACCCACTCATGTACCCGTCTAACCTATGCTAAAGCTACCCAAAGTTCTTGTTCAAAGACGCTACCAGGGAGTTTCACTCGTCTACAACGCTAATGCCAATTAGTACGTCCCAAATCATTTCTGAATCTAAATTTCTCCGACTTGAATCCATTGCTGCAAGTCCTGTCTTGGTTAGATATTTTCAAGACAGTGTATATCCCCTATTTATTATAGTTTTTCATTTGTACACTTCAATCCTATCATCCCTAATTTTACGCCTTTCCAAAAGATGCGTTTTAAAGAGAATCATCATGGGCTTGGCCTAGTTTGAAGGTTCTCATTATCCATCCTATCATTTTCCTAGCAGATGGGGTGATACATTGTTGTGATTCAGGAAATCGTAATGACACGATTGCAAACAAACCATATCACGGGTGGGGTTAGAACCCGCGATCAGAGAGTCATAAAACTGTCTGATCGCGGGTTCTAATCCCACCCATGGTATGGTTTCATTGTTGTGATCTTTGAAGGCGAGATCCTCTGACATTATCAATCCCAGGTCCTTCACATTATATTTTTGTGTGTGTAAATGTAAGAAACGTAACCAAACCTAACGAAATCCAACCTAGCCTAATTTAAAATAACGTAATGTAACAAAAGCCTTACTTCGCCAGTGGTAGATATAGGTGTATTTGCGGCAGGGCGACAGCTGATCAATTCGGACTTTATGGTCTCGTGTGTCACACAGCAGAAGGGAAGTATGCCAGACATGAGGAGGTCAATGACATCATAAAGAGAAGACTCGCCACCGCCCGTTGCCCAGCTCAACGGTAACCCCAAGTACAGAGGTCTGATGGAAGTCAAAAGCGTCCTGATGGAGCCACTATGCTGCCCTGGAAGGATGGAAAGCAGATTGCCTGGGACTTGGCAGACACCTACTTGCCATACTCCATAGTGGAATGGGTTGGAGCTGCCAGCCACAGGGAGACCCAGAAGATCCGAAAATATGAAGGCCTTTCCCCTTGCTATAACTTCATTCCAATAGGGTCGGAGACCCTTGGAGCATGGGGCAAGTGTGCTCTAAAGTTCCTCAAAGAGCTGGGTGAAAAGCTCATCATAGAAACCAAGGATCACAGGGCGACCAGCTTCCTCTTTCAGACTCAGCGTTGCGATCCAGAGGGGGAAATGCCTGCAGCATTCTAGGCACGCGGCCCACCGCCAGGGGGCTGACGAAGTATTCGAGATGTAGCTGGTTACCCATGTTATTTTTCTTTCTGTTGTATTTTTGTGAATGTTTGGCCAATGTATTTGGGCCCTTTCATATATATATATATATATATATTATATTTTATATATATATATATATATATATATATATATATATATATATATATATATATTTTATATATATTACCAGTGATTGGCCAGGAGCTTCCCTACGTCCCCATTAATCGCTGATTGGCCAGACGTGCTGGACGTATTATTATGTTAATATCACCCAAAAAAATCAATATCCGCAGAAATAAAAATTTGTGAATGATTTCTCAAAAGAACCATATCTCCATATTACCCAGAAATATAAAGTATGTTGTTACCCAAGTGTGCAGATTGTGAATCACCTCTAACCAGAGGGCTGAAAACAGCATGGAAGAAAAATATTCATAACAGCATGCCTGACTCACAGCATGATACCACCTTAATGAAGTAACTTGTCCTGGCCAACACTGTCACCTTCATTAAACAAAACAAGACAAGACAGCACATATAATTTAAACTGTGTTTGATAATTGTACTTATGTATACTTGTGCCTAAATAAACTTATTACAATACACACCTTGAGCTCACAGTAACGCGCTAACTGGCTGTACAGTTACAAACCCTGGCCACACATGCACACTGGACAAACGACACACGTTGGTCACACAACACACACTGGCCCTACAAACAGTGTTATAGCTCACACAACATAGGCTGGTGAGTGATTTGTTTATACCGCCAGATGTTCCTGGGGTTGCCGGAGCTGTCACAAACGCTGCTGAAAAATATAGAGGAATGCCCAACAGTTATCAATTGAACTGGAAATGAATGCTAAAGCGATAAAAATTATTCTATTCTGTTTGATGTAAAATTTCTATTTTTTAAAAATTAACAGCAATGAAGCCTTAAGTTGATTGATTTATTGGGTTTTCCTATCCACTACACGAGGGTCATTTTGGCTCCAAGTAAGCTTTACACCACAAATCAAGGACACTTAATCCCTGAAATAAGGAGTAAAGTAAACTTTCAGCATTACGCACTGAGAGTTACACACCTGTGTAACTGTGTTAGCTATGACTCGACCCCTGCAACCACAATTAAGTGAGTACCTCTCGGTTTGCATAACTTTCAGTGAAGTCTTAAACGCATTCACTAGCATTATGCGCCAGGTGAATTTAGAATCCAATGACAACATGCGCATGCCTGCTGAAATTATATAACGTAAAGAATAAACACAATACAGTTTATAGTTAATGAATTAGGACTTGGAAGCTAGTGTTCACTAACCTAGCACTCTGCTCTTGGAGAAACCTTGCAAAAAAATAAGGATCAGTACGGTTGGGCCCTGACACGCAAGAGTCTCTTAGATACATAGTAAAGAGGCAAAATTTCTCGGAAACTGCTACATTCCATTACATATGTATCAGTGCAGTTAATCTCCCATTTATTCTCTACATGTTCGTAAAGGGGGGCTCTATCTGAGTATATTACTCACCGACCTTCCAGCTTCGGCCATGTTTGTCACCTCGCGGATACTAGGAGCACTGGATTCCTGGCACTCTCCACAGTGACAGGTCATCAGAGTTCTACAGCTTATCATATCATATCAGGATAGAATGAGAACCTTTGAGCTTTTTTTTTTTTTTTTTTTAAGCGGCAACCCTACACAAGTGCACCAGTACGACTGAGCAGTTCAGTCATCATTTGACTTAGATCCCCTTCAGGAGGCAATTCTCTCCCTGATGAACAGAACATTACCACCACCACAGGGTCAACATGGTGGCCGAGGGCATCAAGTGTTCGCATCATGGCTGGAACGTGGCTGCTGATGGCTTTCATCCTGAGTTCCATATACCGCTCTAACCTGATGGCCATGTTGACGCTGCCCAAGCTGCGCCTTCCCTTCAACAACGCAGAAGAACTTGCGCGCACCAGCATCACCCTCTTCACAGGCGCAGAAAACATAATGAGTGTCGCTATACAAGTAAGTTATTCACCAAGTCTTAGACAACATGATATTTCGTGTTAAGTAGTAAACCCGTGTGGGTCATAGAATGCAAGGAATAGTGGGGATTTAATACTAATGGAAGATCAAGTTGCCACAGTTCTTTCACTGAATGACCCACACTCGTTTAATGTTTACATAAATAAAAGTTGTACCCTGACTTTGCATACTGTACATAACTCATGAGCATTTAAACTTGTTTAAATTCAACCATACCTTGCTCGAATACAAGGCAATGTAAATAATTCGAAACTACGTATATACTGTAACATTAGTTCTTGTGCAGCCCGCAGGCACACTCTACTAATATTCCCCAAGGAACTGAATTTATGTCCTTAATATTGTAAATTGCTAAGCTATTCAAACTTTGGGGTCTTGTCCTTGGACCCATTATGTGCTTCTGTAATCTTCTGACTGTCACCCACAGGATGGGTATGGAGTGCAAAATAAAACAAACTAAAACCGACTCATACAGGTTTAGCGCTTATTTTGCAATATAATAATAATAACAATACAATAATTTTTAAATAAATCTGTGTAACAATGTGACAGAGAGGATGGGGTAGTTACTGTAGCTCAGTGCTCGGCACAGTCTACTACCACCACAAAGGTTTAAATCCTGCAGCTGATAAACTAAACACTATCACCACCTTCATTTGTTCTTCAGTTGCTCTCATTTAACCTTTTTCTAGTATACTCTGCCGTCCGTGTATATATATACATACATACATACATACATACATACATACATACATATATATATATATATATATATATATATATATATATATATATATATAATATATTATATATATATATATATATATGTGTGTGTGTGTGTGTGTGTGTGTGTGTGTGTGTGTGTGTGTGTGTGTGTGTGTGTGTGTGTGTGTGTGTGTGTGTGTGTGTGTGTGTAAAATTAGATTTCAAGAATGCGTTCAATCTCCTGAAAAGAGACGTGGTATTAGCAGCAGTACAAGAACATTTCCCTGGTCTCTTCCCTTTTGTTTCAGCTGGGTATAGCAAGGAATCAAATGCTTCTCTTTGGAGAGCATGAAATCACATCATCGGAGGGTGTCCAACAAGGAGATCCTCTTGCACCATTTCTCTTCTGTATAGCAGTTAGGGAAATCAAGACAGACTGACCAGCGAGCTAAACATCTGGTTCCTAGATGATGGCACACTAGCAGGTACAAAGGAGTCCCTCCTACATGACCTTACACAGGTAATGACACGGGGACAGGAAATGGGTCTCATCCTGAATCCATCCAAAATGTGAAATCATCTCAGTCAGTCAACAAGTGATAAATGCAGTGAGATCAAAATACCAGAGCAGCAGTCATTGCCCCCACAAATAGTGTCTTGCTAGGAGCATCTCTGCTGGAAGCAATGCCATTGACACAATTCTCAGGAAGAAATTGGAAGAGTTAAGGAGAATGGAACAACGAATAGGCAATCTGGACACCCACGATGCCTTGTACCTTCTCACAAAGTGCTTGAGTCTGCCCAGGTTGACATATTTCCTAAGATGTGCACCTTCATATGATAACCCTATACTGCACGAATATGACAGTATTCTGAGGCAGATTTTTTACGAAAGTACTTAACCTTACTCTAGAAGACGGGCAGTGGAACCAAGCTACACTTCCAGTCAGAGTAGGAGGCATTGGTGTCCGTAAGTCATCACAGATTGCGTTACCTGCTTTTCTGTCCTCGTGTATTGCATCCAGAGAGCTTGTAACAGCGATTCTCCCTGAACATCTTAGGGACAAGACTGGAGTCCAGGACCAAAAATTCATTGACGGAGCAATGATCTGGGATAATCTAACGGGCTCTGAAACCAGACCTGCTCCCCCCAACAACTACAAACAATCGCACTGGATGGTCCAATAGTGGAAAATATTGCCTCAACAATGCTTCAGAGTGTGTCAGGGAAGGATAGAGCCCACCTCCTGGCAGTGAGAGCCCCTCATGCTGGGGACTTTCTGTTGGCTGTTCCCAACTCCAGCCTTGGCACACGCCTCGACCCACAGACCATCCGCATTGGTGTGCCCTTCGACTTGCCGCCCTATTCTCGCCGAACACAGGTGTATTTGTGGCAGTGAAGCAGCAGACCGATTCGGGTACCATGGTCTTGTGTGCCGTAAATCCGAGGGAAAGATTGCAAGACATGAGGAGGTTAATAACATTATCAAGAGGAGCCTCACAACAGCTGGATGCCCAGCAGTAAGGGAGCCACCCCAACTATGCAGATCTGATGGCAGCCAGAAGCGTCCAGATGGTATCACCTTCAAGCCTGGACAGATGGGAAGCAGGTGGTGTGGGACTATACATGTGCATCTACCTTGGCTGATACCTATCTCAATACACCAGGGAGGAAGGAGGGGCAGCTGCCAGCTTCAGGGAGTCCCAAAAGTCTAGAAAATATGGAGAACTTGCCCATCATTGTATGTTTGTTCCCATAGGCTCAGAGACCCTTGCTCATGGGGAAAGAGTGCATCTAATTTCCTTAAGGAGCTGGGAAAAAGGACTCATCAGAGTAACTAGGGATCCCAGGGCAGCTAGTTTTCTGTTCCAGCGGCTCAGTGCGGCTGTTCAAAGGGTATAATGCCTGCTGCATTTTGGGCACACGCCCCAGCTCTGAGGAGCTGGATGAGATTTTCGCCTTATAATCGGTGATACACACGTAACAACGTATATGCCACCTTTATATTAACATGTATCTCTTAAATCTTCTGTGCCATATTATGTAATAAAATATTCCTATGGTAAAAAAAAAAAAGTTTAAAAGATGGGGTGGTAGGGAAAGTGGAATATTCAAACGGCTTCAGGAAGAAATCCAAATATTCCTCCTTGAAGCCTTTTTATCCACTTCTCCGAGGCTATCGGTCCCACAATTTACACCAGAGGTGGACCCCATCCTAAAAAAAAAAAAAAAAAAAAAAAAAAAAAAATATATATATATATATATATATATATTTATATATATATATATTTATATATATATAAATATATATTTATTTATATATAATATATATATATATTATATATATATATATATATATATATATATATATTATTTACTTTACCACAATTTCAGTTCATTCCACGAATTATTTCTCTTCCCTCCTGCATCCTGATTAACATTTAGCACTTTAAACTTTCCTGCTATACTTTTCATAACACTTTCTCCAATATTATTATTCTCTCATTTGCTCAAAATTTTATAAATATTTACCAGTCCCCCTCCCAGACTGTCTCTCGCAGCACAATCATACAAAGTGGGCTGCGTGGCTGCAAAAAAAAAAAA